ACTCTCTCCCTATGAGGTTCTCTAGTAATAGTCAATCGGCACGTTTGACAAACTTGTCATATGACACGTAAAATGATTCTTAATCATAGGTATGTTCTTTTCTTCTGCAAGCAGCGTACACTAATGGCTCCTGCACACAGGACGTGGTAATGCTTGCCGCGCGGCGGAAGTCCATGCGACAGCCAATCAATATGTTGTTTTTCCGTAAGAGCTAGAAGGTTATTATGGAAAGCAGCATATTGATTGGCTGTCGCGCGAACTATCGCTGCGCGGCAAGCATTATTGTGTTCTGTGTGCAGGAGCCATAAGGGTGCTATTTCACGTGTCGTACGACAAGCTTTTCGGATACGTTTATTGGTTGGCGAATAGAGTATTTCTAGGTTCTCTGTTCGTCAACCAATGAACGTATCCAAAAAGCTTGTCGTACGACACGTGAAATAGTATCCGTACTCAGTACAACAGAATACTGCACTGCCTGCCCTAGTGGTCTGTTCTTTTTAGATGTACTACTGAACTAGTGCAATAAATTAGAATGAAACAAATACACTTTTTCTCACTCTAACTTATTGCACTAGTGCAGCAGTGCAGCTAAAAAGAACAGAGCATTGGTCTGTTCTTTCGCTCTGCACTGCTGCACTAGTGCAATAAGTTAAAGTGAGACAAATATATATTTGTCTCTCTCTAACTTATTGCACCAGTGCAGCAGTGCAGAGCAAAAGAACAAACCACATAGATCTCGAGCTAGGGCAGCGGTGTAGTGCAATATGGTGATGTACACGAATAAGAATAGGTTAGAATCCTCAAATAAATAAACAAGTAGCATAACAAGTAGCATAATAACATGAACTATACATTTTCAGTACTGGCAATACATTTCGGAACGCAATCTCAGTGTAATGCAATGCAGTGCTAGTGTAGTCCCAGTGCACAGGAAAAGAACAGACTTTATGGGTGTTTACGATAAGTTGTCGGTATTAGTAATCTTACGTAGTAAACATTAACCTATAATAATATTGGATTTATGTTATAATTTCGTATGTAACAAAATAAGAACAGTATAAAATCTGTCAAATTAACATTTCAAACATACTAATTTTAAAATATATTAAGGACATTTATGCATTTATATATAGATACATATAAATATGTGTGCTTGATATGTGTATGTTCATATGTGTAATCTATAATTATTTACACACATATTTTTATATAAAAAGAACATTTATATTTTTATAGATTGTGTATATATATATATATATATATATATATATATATATATATATCTATGTTAATTTGACAGATAATACTTCTTTTCATTAATTTAATATCAGTAAAAGTGTAACAGATCATTTATTCATACATTGATATATAAGGAAAATGATACGCGCTAATCATTAGAATAATAATTACGTACCTACCGACTTTTATCTTTTTATTTCTCTTGAGGACAAAGTATCACCTCACGTTGCTATGAAGCTAATCGGATTACTGCTGAGACAGCTTTTACTAAAATCTGATTAAGCTAAGGAATTTTTTGAAATGGGTCGATTGAATACCACTGTTCAGTCGGATTTCCAATCCGACAACTTATCGTAAACACCCGTTAAATCTGGAGAGCATCTATATCGCATTAAAGTTCTCCCCTCACCTAGCTGTGAGTGTGGAGCTGCCATTTAGAATGTTATGGCTCCTGCACACAAGACGCGGTAATGCTTGCCGCGCGGCAGAAGTTCACGCGACAGCCAATCAATATGCTGCTTTTCGTAATAACCTTCTAGCTCTTACGGAAAAACAACATATTGTTTGGCTGTCGCGCGG